AATGTATGCTAATGCTCAGAAACCACATTTGAATATGTTAATGAGTAGAACCCTCAGTTGAATATGCTAATGAGTAGAACCCTCATTTGTATACATGCTAATGAGTAGAAACCACATTTGAAAATGCTAATGAGTAGAACCAACATTTGTATACATGCTAATGTGTAGAAACCACATTTGAATATGCTAATGAGTAGAACCAACATTTGTATATATGCTGATGAGTAGAACCCTCATTTGAATATATGCTAATGAGTAGAAACCACATTTGAAAATGCTAATGAGTAGAAACCACATTTGAATATATGCTAACGAGTAGAAACCACATTTGTGAATATGCTAATGAGTAGAACCCTCATTTGAATATGTACTAATGAGTAGAAACCACATTTAAATATATGCTAATGAGTAGAAACCACATTTGAATATATGCTAATGAGTAGAACCAACATTTGTATATATGCTAATGAGTAGAATCCTCATTTGTATATATGCTAATGAGTAGAACCCTCATTTGAATATATGCTAATGAGTAGGAACCACATTTGAATATATGCTAATGAGTAGAAACCACATTTGAATATGCTAATGAGTAGAATGAACAATTGTATATATGCTAATGAGTAGAACCCTCATTTGAATATATGCTAATGAATAGAAACCACATTCGAATATGCTAATGAGTAGGAACCACATTTGAATATATTCTAACGAGTAGAACGAACATTTGTATATATGTTAATGAGTAGAACCAACATTTGAGTATGCCAATGGGTAGAAACCACATTTGAGTATGTTAATGGTATAGGATACCAAAAATACAACTATGTTGGGTACAAGTTTGTACAGAAAAATATCTGCCTAGAACAATATTATCACCTATCATCCTCCTGGGTAAATAGATGCTTAGCAACCAGAGAATCCAAAACTTCTCTATTACCTTGTCAAGGAAAGACATCTAACAGCATTGTCCGACTGCTTCCATTTAAATATTGGCTCCAAAGTCACTGGTTCAGCGAGGGAAGATGTACTGAACTGCTCTCTTGTAGAGCGTGGGTCTCTTTCGGCAGCGAAATAATCAGCGATCACGTTATCTGTATTGTCTAACACTAGTGGTTCGTCAGACTGTGCATCATTATCGACAAGCTCAGTTGGTTCATCATTCTCTGATGCTGGTTTGGCATGTTTCTCCTCCAAGATCATATCATCATCCTCGTTATCGGCAGAAAACTTGCGAAACATGTTGCGTCTGCGATTATCTTTTCTATGGCTATCTGTTGGAAGCTCCCCGTTGAAACTGCAACTCCGGGGAAGTTTGGGAATTCTAATTCGGCTCTGCTCTGGCAAAAGAGACATTGGTGCTGGCGTAAAGTTCAGGTAGGCCAAACTTTTACATTTTGTAGTCAGTTTGCTTGGTT